GGAGCGCTAAGCTCGATGTGAAGGCCCTGGGGTGTGTTATGAGAGGAAAAGGGGTTGTGTATAGACCCAGGGACAAAGCGGGAATCATATCCCTACATCAGGTGAAAGTGGTGGCAGCGGCAAAAGTGACGGCTGGGGTGGACCCGACCCCTGCCCAGGAGGTTGCCCGCTGCATCTGCCACGTACGAGAGGGCGGGGAAGGAACACCCCCCGACAAGTTCAACTGTCCGACCATGGTACCTCAGTCGCCCAGTCACAAACTCTTCACCCAGCTCCGTGAAAATTTGGAGACGGAGGGTCGCACCGCGACCAAATGGGCGGGCCCTAAATGGGACAGAGGAAAAATGATTAATGTTCTGTTTTGCGCATTTGTTAACGCAACGCGCGATATTGAAAATTTGAGTAGCCAACTTCTAACCCTGGGAAAAGTCGCAGCTGAAAACGCTGCTGCACAACAATTGCCTACGCCATTGCCCCAATATGGCGCCGGCGAAAAAGTCAGCGTCTTCAAAGAGCCGGAGAAGAAGGGCGGGGCTTTAGGAAAGGATGCGAAGGGTGGAGTTGGGGGAGGCCCACAACTACCTCATTCTGTACGGGAGCACAACGGGGCGGGCCCAACAGCTCCACCCCTTGAGCATCAGCCACCGCCTCCCTATGACGAAGAAGGAAAAACCCCCAAGTCCATATATCCGCCTCTACCAACGGAAAATCCGCCCCGACCGATGACGTCTTCGCCAGCTTCCATGGAAACGGCCTTCCCTATCACTATTACGAAATACATAACGGATCAAGAAGGCGTAACCCGCGCTACTTCTACCTACCGCACCCGCAACCGTACAGAGATACAAGATCTTTTACAGCTATCAAAAATTAAACCAGGGAAAACCCTGGTGGTATGGCTTGGCCGACTAGTAGTTGAATTCGGCTCAGAGTTGCTGGACCTGGAGGAAGCCAGCTTCCTCACCCGCCAAGCTGCATGGAGTGGAGGACACGCAACCGACCTCGGTCCAGTCATGAGGAATGATCAATGGGCCATTCCTTTACCTGCGCTCCTAGCCCGCCAGATTATGAACAAGTCCCACCTGTGGCATAATGGCCGCCTGGAAACAGCGGCGGCGGAGCAACTATTATTGGCAATAGTAGGAACCTCGTATTGCACATGGGACGGAGGCCCACAGCCACTGGGTGTTCAGCACAACAGGTTCGGCTTGACGGCACAACAACTGCTGGACCATGGCCGCATTGATACCCAACGCAACCCGGAATAGTCCCAATTACCACCGAAGCCTTGGAAGCCTGCATAGACATCTATGGAGGATCTCATGCCATCACTCTTCGCCTCCTCCTTATCCCGCAAGTAGACGGACAGGCCGGGAACATCCTTAGTCAATTGGGCCGTATCCAAACTCTCATGAAACCAACAGCGATGCCTCAAAGCATCAATTGCGCTACAGAACCGGACCCGTCTTCAGCATACTCCGTAAAGCAACCTGAATTTAACAGGCCACCCAACAAAGGCTTACAACCATTCCCAGAACGGACCCTTGAAGAAAAGGCCATGTTTTGGTTCCTAATAAAAGAGTCCGGCCTTACCAAACAGCAATTACGCGCCCTGAAGGACGATGGACAAAAGGCCCTAGCAGAAAAGTTGGGATTCGATTACACCCAGAAGCCAAAAAACGGATAGTGGCCGCCGGGC